AAACGATTACGAAAAAAATATATTTCTGAGCCTATCTAGCTGGATTCCGACTTGACTTTGATTCAAGTGTTTTCTAGTGGAACTGTTATAACCCTTTGAGTTTGGTTTATGACACCCTAGTTGTTTCCGTCCATAGATCCAAATGGCTTTATTTTCACATTAAAGTCACCTTTATCCGTCTTACTTGTAACTAGTCGAGTTCCTTGATTCCACTTATTTGTTTTGCTAGATGAATTGTAATATTCTTTCTCGTTGAATCATAGGTTTTCTTGGTGACCGAGGGTAAGATCCAATAGGACATTTTGGACGTTATTTTGCATAATTTGGTGAGTGTTCCTTGTTTGTTGTATTTTCTTGACTTCATGACTTGTATTATTGTTTGATAACGTGTTAAGTGCTTTCAATGATTTCCAAAACGAGTTTTTGAGGCGAGTGTGTACTTTATCGCACTCGACCTAAATAAATGTGAAATTTTCAAAGATTGAATGATTGCAACGTACTTGTGCATGAATGTAAGCCTTTTGGCTGAACTGGGCCCTGCCCCTTGTTACCGATCGACTCGAGCCAGAAGCGGACTCGGTCGGGCGATTTGGTGACCTGGGTGAACGTTTGGTATTCTCGAGTATTACCTTGTAGGTTGGTGGAGGTTGGTGGAGCCTGGCCAATGCCCAGGAAGGGTTGAATGAAATGAACGAACGAACAAACGAGAGTTTTATTGATAAATGAAAAATGCATTTTCAAACGAATGAAGGAATAATGGGAATGACAGGAGAACGAACGAATGAACGAATGTATCCTTCTCATGTGTGACTTATTGTAAATGTTGTAAATGTTTCTTGACTTATTGTTTGATTTATGGCTTGATTCTATGTTCAGAACCTCACCGAACTTTTAGCTCATCTCTTTAGTTTTGTTTTCCTTAACAGGGGAAGGCGAGCAAGGGCGAGAGCTCTGTATCGACTGGCTAGGTCTAGTTTTGGTTTTGTTTTGGTTCTCGTCCTAGTGCTTGGCACGGGTTGGTTGTATGGTGATTTGAGAACTTTTGTATTCTCGACGGTTGTGCTTCTTTCTGGGATAGCAATGTATATAAGTTTTGTTTTAAGTTTTGGATCCTCGTTTTGCTCTTTCTTGTGGTTCTATTTCTGATTTGTGTGAGTGAACGACTGAGTCCCAGTGAGAGCTGGGCAAGCGGTCCGCTGAACCCTTTGGTTTGCCTAAGGGGGAAGTGGGGCTGTCACAGTTGGTATCAGAGCCAGGTTCGCGTGGTCTCTGCGCGGAGTGAGCCTGGACTAAGCGGTGAATGAGTATAAAGGACTAAGTGCTCACTTGAGCATAAGCTATGAATTGTGAATGTTATAGGCCTTAAATCTCTCTCATGGTATCTGAGGACCATAGATAGGTATGTCGGGTAGGAATTTCGATTGTAGATGGTTTACTCTTGGGACTGGCCAGCTCGAGATGTGAATTGTTTTATTTCGGATTCTCGTGCCCGAGTACTCTAGCGTTGAGGCGATGCTCAGTATTTGAGATTTGCATTTTTGGGAAATAAACAGGCTTTGTCTGGCCAGAGTGATTTCAAGAGGCTAATGGACATCTAGTTGGATAGAAAATGATGTGAGAGATCGGACGGGGTTAACAGGGTATGGGACAACGTATCCCTTTTCTTTTGATGCACCCATATATGGCTACTACATGACGTTAGCCTGTGAATTCGTGTATTTGATTATCTGTCAAACTTGATATGTATTTGTGACATGTATTTGTGTATTTGATTATCTGCCTCCTTGATATGGCGTGTTATGTGCATATATGTTTCCTTGTGTATTTGGTATGCTGGAATTGGTGCTTAGTCAATTTACTGTGATTATTCACAAAAATTACCTTTTGGGGGAAAAGAAAAGAAAAGAGAGAGGGAAAAATATATCTATAGACGGGAGACGTAGTCGTGGACATGGTCGAGGCCGGGGAACTAAGCGGACCCCGGAATCAAGAGGAGAAGGGGAGACGTCAGTCGAGCAAGAGCAGGGATCAAGAGCTGCGACTGGAGACCACATGGCAACGGCAATGCAACAAATGACGGATATCATGGCAAGACTGGTGGATCAACAAGGCCAAATACCCGTAAACCAAAATCGGAACCCTGAAATGGGCGAGGATAAGGCTCTTGAAAGGTTCCAGAAGTTTGCTCCGCCAAAATTCCTTGGAGGGCCCGATCCGAACGTGGCTGAACAATGGATAGAAACCATGGTTAATATTTTCACAGCCCAAAACTACACTGAGCAAAGGCAAGTGAACTTTGCAGTATTTCAATTTGAGGGATCGGCCCGATCATGGTGGAACGTAATTAGAGCAAAGTGGGAAAGAGAACAGACTATCTGGACATGGGCGAACTTCATAAGAGAATTTAACGAGAAGTACCTTCCACCTTTAGTCCAAGAAAGGAGGGAGGAGGAGTTTATTGGGTTACGCCAGGAAATGTTAAGTGTGGCCGAATATGAAACAAAATTCACAAGATTATCCAAGTTTGCTTCTGAACTGGTAGCCACTGAACGGCGAAGAGTAAGACGGTTTATACAAGGACTGAATTTGGACATCCAAGAGGCGTTAGCCGCGGCGCAAGTGGATACTTTTACGGAGGCCCTTGAGAAGGCTCAACGAATCGAGAATGCAAAGGCATAAGTAAAAGCCTCCCAAACGCGGAAAAGAGGTGCAGTTGGTAGTGTGATTGAAGAACCTCCTAGTGAATCAATAGCACCTTCTAAAATGTAGAAAGTGAACTTTTTGTCCTACCCGCCATGGACAGTAGGGGCGAGAGATGAAAGGTCTACCAAAAGAAGCCAAACCGGATATGGGGAGACTTCTCCAGAAAGCCAAAATATGCCTTCCTACTTGACTTGTGGTTATTGCGGAAAGGCCAATCATACCGAGAATGATTGTTGGCGGAAAGGGCGGAAGTGCTTGATTTGTGGGAGTGGTGGCGGAGGTAGTATTCCGCAACTAGAGGGAGCTAAAACAAAACAAGCAAATGAAAGAGGGAACCGAACTAGTGGGCCAGCAAAAGCTTATGCGTTAGGCACCCAAACAGTTCCGGACTCGTCTGAGGCAAATAAAGGTAAAATTTCGAGGGCGAAATTTTTTTAAGGGGGAGAGGGTGTGAGACCCCGTAATTTTCTCATTTTCTGGGTTTTATTTTATTTAATGGATATTTTCCTGCATTTTCTTTATTAGGAAAATTTCTAGATAATTTTTATGAGTAAATATTCTTTTTTAGATGATTTTTTAGTATCGATTAGTTTTTGAGAAATTAAGAGCGTATATCGGATGTGGGACCCGCTAGTGCGGAAAGTTCGGTAAAATTCGGTCAATTAGGTTAAGTTGTGTATACCGGATTTAATTTATCAGGTGTTAAGAGATAATTAGAGGTTACCTAGATGGATTACCATTGGAGAGACAAAAGGATAACCATGTAGTAAATGAAGTGACAAGTGTCACTTGGTGACTAATTCTTGGACTTTGACTACACTATTCACTACTTTACCAATTTAAGTAAAAATTGACTAAAATCATCCTCAATTTCAAAGCTTCTTGGCCGGCTCTCTTCAAGAGGAAAAGAAGAAAATTCTCTCAAGTTTCTTGGTTCTAATCTTGCTCAATCTTCAAGTTCAACCGTTTAATCTTGAATTTCCTCCATAAAACCCCTTAGTTTAGTGGTATTAAGATTGGTAGTGAAGTGATTTTGAAGGCTAAGGCACCAAGTTGCTCTTTTTCTTGGGTTTGCAAGGTAAGTGACCAAGGAACCTTTCATTTAATCTTGTTAATGTTCAATTGACGGCTTGTGTGAGTTAAATAGATGGTTTTAGGTGTTGTTTCATGATTTTTGGTAGAAATTGGTGCCTTTTATATTTATACTTGAATTTTTCTGTTTTCATATGATTAATATTGTTTGGCCATGTATGATGGTCTAGTATGGGTTAGAATGAAGCTTTGGTATGATAATTGTAATGATTGGTGGAAAATTTCTGGTTTCAAGCAAAAATTTCAGATTACGGTTTCTAGTTTCCTCAATTCTGCCTGGTACTGTTACACCTAGTTAGAGGCCAAATTGGCCTTAGCACAATACATGAAAGTTGTAGAGAATGATGTTTTCTAGTTTCCTGTAAATATTCAGCCCAATCCGAGCTCAGTAGCCTGAGATAAGACGGAAATTCCCAGCCTGGTCTAGGTAGGAGTTCAGCGAACAGGGTTGTCTTTTCACCCAACCGGACCGTGACTTTTCACCATGATCCTTACCGAATTAAGTGAGAACCCAAAAATTATATTTATATTGATATTCTCAAAAATTATATATATATATATTTGTATTCTAGTCTAATTGCCTCGAATCTTTGGTTAATCTAACGGTTGAATCATGATTTTACTCCTATTGCCTCATTCAATTTATTGCATGTTGGTTTTCTTGGGGTGATATACCAACTCGTCCAACTAGCGAGGTAGGTGCGATAAATTTTGTGAACTAGAGGGAGATTTGTACAAAAGGGGTTATTGTGCTGCAAGGTGTTTTCGAAACGCAGTTGTTTTGAAATTCTCTACTTTGAATGAATTATATTTCTTAGTATTGGAAAATGATTTATATATGATTTTATACCTTCTTGTTTCAGTCCAATAATTTTGAAAACATTTGCAAGGGTTTAATTGAAGTAGTCAAACTTATTTGGTTGTACAAACTCTATTTGAGTGGAAATGAAAGGTTAATCTTGGCTAATTACTTTTAGAATTATTGGATTTTTGACTTTGATCAAGACTAGTTTTAGTCTTCACCTTGGAAGCAAAATGGACCAAGACATTTCATTCCTTTTCTTACCTCTTGGCCGACCATGGAGTTGAAATATCAGCCATAATCTTCTTCTCTTGGCCGAAAATTTTGACTAAGCAAGAGACTAGGAAAAAACAAATTTAAGGGAAAGCTGCCGGATGGTTTTTCCTTGTCTTACTCCAATTGCCCAACCGAGAGAGACATATTTCTCCATTGCCTCCATTTTTGACCAAGTAGCATGCAAGTTGACTAAGCCAAATTTACTTCCTCTTGTTTCTTTTCTTTAGCTCAACCACCGAGAGAAAGAAAAACAAAGACAAACAAGACTGCTCACTTATTTTGTCCCACTTTAGCCGAGAAAGAGTAGAGAGAGTTGAGAGGAAAAGGTTGTGTCTTGCACCCACCTTCCAGCCGAGAGAAAATTTGGGGAAACAAAGAAATTTCCCTTGTTTTGTTTCCACTTCAGCCAAGAGGAACCAGCGAGAGAAAACTGAAAGGAAGCTTGAGTCTTGTTTCCATTTCCAGCTTGTTTGATCGAGTAGAAGGACCAAAACAGGGGAGTTAACTTCTAGCTTGTTTTAAAGGTAACATGACTTGGAACTTTAATTTCTTTCACATACTTTAGAGGGCTTTTGATGTATATTTCCTTGAGGTTGGATTGAAGTAGAAATTGGTTGTAAAGACTGGATTTATTGCTGGAAATTTCTGGAAAACCAATGATAGGAAACATATGTTATACATTTACCTTAAGTTTATAAGAGGTTTGGCTGAAGAAATCAAGATTAAAATACTGACCAAGTGCTGGAAATGCTCAATAGAAGCTGTTATGTGATATTGTTGAGCTAAGCTGAGATTTTCTGATTGTTTCTTATGTGCATGACTGATATACACTCTCTAGTTCATGTATATGGACATGAATGGTAGACTTTAGCTAAGAATGAACCTTGCTGAAGAAAATTTAGATTAAAGGCTGATTGGGTGCTGGAAAATTTCTGAGATGACCGAGGCTAAGGAGCTAGAATTTTAACGCTTGTAACTAGAATTTCCTTGAAGACTCATGTTAGCAGAAGTATGAAATATATCTACTTCAGGTTATATAGGATTATTAGCTGTGAAAGTCGTATATAAGTTGTTCTAGTTGCTATGCTGCACTCTTGGCTTTATTTTTAGATAACAATGGTGAGTTTCTGAAATAGAAGTCGTGTCAGATGCTTCAAAGAGAGAGCTGCTGTGAAAACCAATATACTACGGATTTGGGTGCCAATATCTATGTCTCTTGGTTCCTTAGGTAGTGCTCTTCAAGGATACAGTATATGATTAATTTCCATTTTAGATATATGACCAGGTTCCGTATAAGAATAATGGTAGTGAAGTTCAAATTTTCTCCTTTTATAAAACATGTCAATGTTTTGAGGAAGTGGGTATTTAAACTTTAGATTGCTATTAATTGGTGCAGTTAAGCTGCATGATGGTTGGCCTAGTCTGGTTGCTATTCATTGGTGTAGTGGAACAAAACCCAAACTACAATCAACTTAGAATCCATGACTATTGAATAGAAATGATTTAAACTTAGTCTACACATCTTACAAAACTTTCAACTTAGAATATACATATCTTTGGTTTTTGTTGAAATTTGATGCTTAAATTATGTTAAAATTGCTGGTATGAATGTCATACTTAATGTATGGGTGGTTGGAATAAAGGTCTTGTGGTTTTAAAAGAGAAAAAGAAGTTTTTCACAAGTGAAATTGAGTTTCCAGATTTTCAGATTTCACTGACCAGTTTCAGTAAAATGCTTATATCTTGGTGTAGAAAAATCCAATTGAGGTGCCGTCAGTGGCATTTCAAACTAGACTCATGGGCCTTTGTTCTGTAAAACTTTCATATTTTTCCGCCATGTGTACTGCTATCCGTGAATCCTCAAAGTAGGCTGCCCTGCTTGAATGTCCTGTTTCTTCAGGAAAATGAATTTTTGACTTTGATCGAATATTTGGCCTATTTGTGATTTTAATCTCTAAAATGTGTCTTCTAGGATGTGGTAGTACTAAAAATCTATTTTACAATGGTATAACTTTCATAATTTTTTGACTTGTTGAACTCGAGTTGCGAATTTTTAAAGTTTACTGTTACTATTCATCTCGGTAGATTCCTAAAGCAGAGAAATGGGCTTCTTGACTTTAAAACCTCGGACGGCCTACTTCCAACCTCTTACCTTGATTTTTCCACTTCCTTGACTTCAAATGTACCCCTATTGAACTTCTCTCGCTAATGTATCTCTTATTTCCTCAAAGTTTTACTCTTTTAACAAGTTATCTTAATTAAAGCGGTCAAGACTTGTACTTAGCTTTTAGCCACTATTTTCGAATTTCCAAGTGAAGCTTACTTGCTAGAATTGCCTTGTATTTGGATGACTTTTAGCCTATTAAACGACTATTGTGATGAGATTATTTGTTTGTGTTTTGGGGCTGATTGAGAAAAAGAATGAAGCCATAAATGGCTGGAAAATAGGTAAATACAAAGGGCGTGCTGCCCAAATTTGCACTCGAGAGCTAGGTAGATATACTTGCGACTCGAGTAAGGCTTGAGAGCGAATACCACGTGAACCATCTAGGATATTTGCATCTTCTTTTATCGAGGTATATGAGTTAGAATTCGGCCGAAACTTGTACGCTTGAAAAAATGAAAATTACGACTAATAGAAATACGTTTTCTCCATTTCTTCGACTCAAATGGTATTTCAAAGTATAATTGTTTCAAAGTTATAAAGGTTTAAGAGCGAGCATGAATTGTTCGGCATTTGATAAGTATCGTGAATACTACTTAAACGAGTTGCATTTACTTGATTTTCTTGAAGCGAAACTCCTATGTTTCGAACTTTAGAGAGTTTTACATTCATAAATGATATTTTATCGCAGATTTAGACTCCAACCAAGGAGTTGGACCTGAACGTGACTTTTGAGAGGCACTAGACCCTTGGTGAGTGCTTCCAAATACCTGATTGAACTGGACGCTGGTTTTAATATTTGACCAATATGATCGAATGATATGTGATTGGTATGATCGGGCAAGGGTGTATTTTATCGCACTTGCCCTAATGTGATAGGTACTTGTTTATTATTGCAATTGATTTGAGATACTTGTACGTGACTTGTAAGTACTGAGCGGCAGTATGTACCACACTCGATCCGAGTGGGAGGTACCTCTCATTCCCGTCTCCGTACTTTTATCTTGATTCAGTCGATTGGAGTGTTATCTCATCGACTTTTTGGGGACCCAAACCCCATTGGCTAGTTAATCGAGTCGAGCCGGCAAGGGCCTGGTCGATTGGATAATGAACCATGGGTATCTAGTGTTGTCGAGTGGAGTGTTATCTCTTCAACTAATCAGTATACTCGAGTATTACCACCAGTGTTTATCTTGGAGTTCGGGCCCGGTAAGGGGTTTGGTTGGTGGACGGAGATTGGAGTTAAGTGGTGATCTACTGGATTGGTTACTTTACTTGAAAGTTGACGGAGTGTCAACTAATATTTGATGAAGCTCTGGTGAAGCAATGGGAACTTGGCTCCTGAGAGCCATCCGTATCCTTATACTTGGAAATGATTATTGCCTATTGGATTATGGTTTCTTCTAAAAACTAAAAGCACTTTACACTCGTTCATTTGGAAATTTGCTACTTGAAGTGTTAGTGTTCACTTTTATGAACTTGTTATGCTCGCTATCTTTTGCTACGTTGATACGTGTACCTTTAAATAATGGTCAACTTGCTATTTGGAACCTCACTGGGCTTTTAGCTCATTCCACTACATTTGTTTTCCTTACAGGGGGTACGAGTGAGGCGTGAGACATGTACCGACTAGTGTAGTCTAGTTGTTTTGAATTTTGAATTTGTACTTGTGCTAGTACCCGACCAGGGTTGATTGTACTCGAATTGTAAACACTTTGAAATATTTTGGTATGTAGAAGCTTTGTATCTGGATTTGAGTTTCGATGTATATTATAAGTTTGAATTGCGATGTTATTTCTTGTCTATGGATGTATGTGTAAGATACGAGTGAGTGAGTCCTGGCGAGAGCTGGGCAGGCGGTCCGCCGAACCCTTTGGTACGCCATAGGGGGAGGTGGGGCTGTCACAAATTAGATTTTGGCCAAAACATTAAAGTTGTAGCCAATGGTATAAACTACATTCCTACAAAATTTCAACTTGATCCGACCACTGTAGCATGTGAAATGACCAAAATACCATTGACTGTCCATGAAACCGGTTTCGCGCCCAGAATTCTGTTTTCGTGTAGTTTTCCATTTTTGATCATGAAAATACATGATTTGGCCTTGGAGGTCTTCATAAGAAATGTAGGGTTCTGTCTTAGCTTCCAAACACCATAAGATACACTTCAATCGGATTTCGTTAGCCTGAGTTATTGCTGTTTAACAATTGTACGGTTAGCCAACCTGTTTGTGAGATTCTGGTTTCATATATGTCAATTTTGACCTAGCTACACTATGATCTGGACTGAGTGGCCTTCTTCAACCATGTAGCCCCATGTCTTAGCTTCGAAATGGTATAAGTTGCACCTCAATCCGATAAGCCTAGCCTCAGATGTGTCCATTCCGCAAAAACCCGTCAAAACTGTCTTTGGTAAACTTCGTTTCCGCACTTGTTGTTAGCTTAAATTTTTGTCCTTGTATTGTCTTGAGCATATTGAGTGGCTGTTTATGTTATATGCAATGTTGGGATTGATTGAGGAAAACAATGAAGCCATAACTGGCTGGAAAATAGGAAAATACAAAGGGCGTGCTGCCCAATTTTTCGCTCGAGGGCTAAGTTTCTATTTGAACTTGTATATTTTTTGTTTGACAAATACTATGACCGTTTTCCATCTTAGAACATGCTACATTTTCCATTTGAACCTTCAAATGCTTATTTACTACTTCATACCAAAATATAGAGGTATGACCTAGGGTTTTCTCAGTCAAGAAGACATGTAGGCCATAATACCTACTTGAATGTGTATTGATTTTGAACCCCATAAACGATTACGAAAAAAATATATTTATGAGCCTATCTAGCTGGATTCCGACTTGACTTTGATTCAAGTGTTTTCTAGTGGAACTGTTATAACCCTTTGAGTTTGGTTTATGACACCCTAGTTGTTTCCGTCCACAGATCCAAATGGCTTTATTTTCACTTTAAAGTCACCTTTATCCGTTTTACTTGTAACTAGTCGAGTTCCTTGATTCCACTTACTTGTTTTGCTAGATGAATTGTAATATTCTTTCTCGTTGAATCATAGGTTTTCTCGGTGACCGAGGGTATGATCCGATAGGACATTTTGGACGTTATTTTGCATAATTCGGTGAGTGTTCCTTGTTTGTTGTATTTTCTTGACTTCATGACTTGTATTATTGTTTGATAACGTGTTAAGTGCTTTCAATGATTTCCAAAACGAGTTTTTGAGGCGAGTGTGTACTTTATCGCACTCGACCTAAATAAATGTGAAATTTTCAAAGATTGAATGATTGCAACGTACTTGTGCATGAATGTAAGCCTTTTGGCTGAACTGGGCCCTGCCCCTTGTTACCGATCGACTCGAGCCAGAAGCGGACTCGGTCGGGCGATTTGGTGACCTAGGTGAACGTTTGGTATTCTCGAGTATTACCTTGTAGGTTGGTGGAGGTTGGTGGAGCCTGGCCAATGCCCAGGAAGGGTTGAATGAAATGAACGAACGAACAAACGAGAGTTTTATTGATAAATGAAAAATGCATTTTCAAACGAATGAAGGAATAATGGGAATGACAGGAGAACGAACGAATGAACGAATGTATCCTTCTCATGTGTGACTTATTGTAAATGTTGTAAATGTTTCTTGACTTATTGTTTGATTTATGGCTTGATTCTATGTTCAGAACCTCACTGAGCTTTTAGCTCATCCCTTTAGTTTTGTTTTCCTTAACAGGGGAAGGCGAGCAAGGGCGAGAGCTTTGTATCGACTGGCTGGGTCTAGTTTTGGTTTTGTTTTGGTTCTCGCCCTAGTGCTTGGCACGGGCTGGTTGTATGGTGACTTGAGAACTTTTGTATTCTCGACGGTTGTGCTTCTTTCTGAGATAGCAATGTATATAAGTTTTGTTTTAAGTTTTGGATTCTCGTTTTGCTCTTTCTTGTGGTTCTATTTCTGATTTGTGTGAGTGAACGACTGAGTCCCGGCGAGAGTTGGGCAGGCGGTCCATTGAACCCTCTGGTTCGCCTAAGGGGGAAGTGGGGCTGTCACAGAATCAAACGCCATTTTTCTAAACTCGTCATTTATTTTTCTTATTAAAAATGGGGCGCGACACTCGACAAACGTGTCTTCGCCATTTCTTATCGAACGAGCCTCCGAAAAATAAATTTTTCTAACAAAACATTTTTAAAACATAAAGGAGATATTATTCCATATAAATGGATTTAAAATGATTGAAATGAATTATTCGGAGAAAACGGGTGAATAAATAATTAATTAAGCCATTAAAATAAGTAAAAATTCGGGTCCTCAAATCCTTCCCTCCTGAAAAAGAATTTCGTACTCGAAATTCATACCTTGATTTATAAATAACCCTAAATACTTTCTCCTTCCGTGACCAATTTTGATCACTCTTAATTCTCCCATTCAAAACTCACACTTATTAAACTTAACTATTCTCAGGTGCCATTCATGATCTTATTACAGGTCTTGAGACATGGAGCAACAGATTACAGATACATATAAGTCGTAAAATCAATTAAAAGCAAGGTAAACTTTCATATATCATAAAAGATCATAATAGTTACACTAAATTATAATAAGTTCATCGAATCATTTCAAAAGAAAAAGGGGATCAATGAGATCAAAACGTGTTAAGTCGCAATATACATCAAAAAGATGTCATCCCCTATACAAAAGATTACAACTTCTAAAAGTGCCAGTCTATGCTAGGGTAAAACTACGATCCCTATTTGTCGAGTAGAGTCAGATTCACCCCTACTCGTAGAGTTTTCATTACTTGAGTTCCTCTTACAATCATCAGCATTAATCACTCCTTCTGGCACTCGACTGATTTGTGGTGGATTTAGCAGGTTGTTGAGAGTTTCCTTCTCCCTTAAAAGCTCTAGGACAATTCGAAAATTTATGCTCGATACTACCGCACCTCAGACATTTTCCTTGTTTTCTCCAGCACTCGGTCTCAGTGTGGTTATCTTGCCACAGTATCCACAAGTTACATGAGGAGTCATAGCATGACTAGTTTGGGATTTTCCCTTTTGTAGGCCTCACCTACTCTGATTTTCTTTTGGTGGGACTTCATTTGATGGGGTTTCTTTGGGTTTTTCTGGCATCTTCACTCCTCCAGCCCCCTTTTCCATTTTAAGGGGTTGGGTAGGCTTCTCGGACGGTTTAGGAATATCACTTGGGTTACCCCTTTTTCTACCATGAAAAGTCTTAGTTTGAAACTTAGCATTTTCTACCCTCTATGCCTTATCCAAGGCATCCGTAAAAGTGGTAATCTGAGCAGCTGCTAGGGATTCTTGAATTTATACATTTAACCCCTAAATGAACCTCTTTATCCTTTTACGTTCGTTGAGTACAAGCTCAGGGGAAAATTTGAAAAGTTCAGTGAACCGCTCCTCATACTCGGCCACACTTAATAACCCTTGTTTCAACTTAATAAAGTCGTCCTCCCTCTTTTCTTGTATAATTGGCGGGAGGAACTTACATTAAACTCCCCCTCAAAGTTTACCCAAGTCCAAGGGATTTGTTCTCTTTCCCACTTTGCACTAACAACATTCCACCATGAGCGTGCCGCCCCTTCAAATTGTAAAACGGCAAAATTCACTTGCCTTTCCTAGGTATAATCTAAAGCAGCAAAAATATCAACTATCCTTTAAAACCAATTTTTCGCTACCTCGGGATCAGACCCTCCATGGAACTTAGGTGGAGCGAACTTCAAGAATCGCTCTAGGACTCTATCCTCACCCCTCTCTTGTTTCCTAGGTTGGTTGACTGGTTCAAGTCCCTGGCGCTCAACTAAGCGCTCGAGAATATCGATCATGCGGTTAATGACCGTAGCTACTTGGTCACCCTCTTCGTTTCTAGGGTTTTGGTTTGGTCCAATCGTAGATCCCTCACCTCTCTCGGGAGTGTGGGGTTGTTGAAGCCCACGCCCACTCCCCCGTCCACGTCCTCGCCGATCAATTTTGCAAGGTTCTAAACGTATAATACAAGTAGAAAACATAAGCGCATGAATTGAAAAACAGGTACACATTGCAAGAACACTCTAAATCAAAGCATAGCTAGAAGTCATGTCACAGGTCAATGTGTACACAACGAGTTAATAGTATCGAATACAGGTCATAGGCAACTAAGTGCCATAAATATAGGAGTACATGCAGGCAAAATACAAAAAGCCTCACGGCGAGCACCACCCCTACTATATTAGGCAGGATCAACAGGAAAATCATAAGTCTAGTTAGGAATAAAACTAGAAGAATCCATGATACCAAGCCACATCATTCAAATAATTACAAACTCCAAATCCCATCCAAAAGCCTAAGCTACTTTCTAAATTCTTAGCCTTCTCACTAGATTCACGGTGAAAGTTCTTATACAAGTTAGGGTAATAAGTCAAACCAAACGGAATGCAAAAGATGTATCATTTTCAAGTTCAAAGTGGAGCCCAAAATTGTTCAAATGGTTCAACTTTTCCTTCGAAAAGTTCGGCAAGCAAAATAATGGAGGAAACAAGGTTTCTAACCTTTAAACTCACCAAATGGCTATTTAAATTTCCTAATTTGACTCTCCTCCAACCCAACTTAAAGAGTAAAATCTTATAGTACTTTGTGGGCAAAAATGGTGCTACAACCTCAAGCACCAAGATCACATTGCACGCAATACACAATCAAATCCCACAGTCCGGCATTCTAAACTTTTAAGCCTAGGACACTCTACAAAGATCTGAAACCTAAGCTCTGATA